TAAGCTAGGTCATTTAAGATAAGACCCATGAAATAGCCTGTGATGGCCATGATCACATAGCTGTGCAGAATTCAGCTGAGAAAAAGGATCTAAAAAGAAAGTGAAGGTGGGGAGTAGACCAGTGGAGCCTGTTCTTAAGAGCTCGTTTGAGGCCTTCATCATCAGTCATCTGATGGGCGTGTATTGTAGCTCTGATCCCTGTGACTCCCCTGCAATCCTGTTAGATAGTCCAACAGCTGCATTTTTAGGAAGGAATATAAGGATAGTGTTCTCTTTTTATTCACTGCAAATTATTCAGTTACATATACTATTTCTCATTCCTTACATATTGTATATTAATGTGTCTTGTGATATGTGTCTTATGATCTTTACTTAAAAGGAAAAGAATCGTTCCTAAATAGTGGGTCCTTTTCACTGTGTGATACTGGTAAGAATTTGAGGAAACAGAGGGGATTGAGAGGAAAAAAATGTTCTGCCAAGCAGAGTTAATCTCTTTTATTATGTTTCTCTAGGGATAACAGTCTTTAAGACAGTAACAGATTTAACTTCCTAGAAGGGAAATAAGAGAATTATGGCCATATAATAAATGAGACTTTAGTTTTTCTGAATGATGCATTTGAATTTTAAGCCCTAATGTACTTCTCCATATTTGTTTAGCTAGCATCCCCCTCTTCCTAGAAGTAAAATTTCAGAATTTCTGCATGAGAGTTGTTAGGCAAGATCTTCTCTTTCTTTTAGATAAGTGGTTCTTTACCTGGGGTCTGGTCACTTAAGAAAAATTGATGAGTGTATTTCAAGATAAATGGTTTCCTTTGTAATTTTCTACATTTTATTTTGTGCATTTACAAACTTGACTCTGAGAAGGCATCTGTAGGCTTCACCAGCTGCTGTCTGAGGAGTCCAGGACATGAAAACACCCTTGCTTCTTGTAGCCTTTGAACTGATGTGCAGAATTCCTTACTTGGGACTTGCTCAGAATTTCTCTCACGTAGATGTTTCTGGTGGACTGTCACCAACACTGAGGTCACAGTGTTGGTTTTCGTAGTTCTGATTTCTGTGACTATTACAGTACATTTTATATGACAGGCCTCAAAGTTATTACCACAGTATTATAAATAGAAAAGCAAATTTACTGTTTATTTCTCTTTCAGACCCACTAAAGGAAAGAGTCTTGTAGAGCAGTATCTTGCAACCCATCTAAATAGTAGGGAACCCTAATGGCTTAGTGAGATTAGCCGGGAACTGAAGTCCCCACTTCACCATTTACTTGTTGTATCACTGTGAACAAATTGCTTCCTGTGTCTGAGCCTTCCCACATATGTGTAATGAGAGCTTTGAACTGGATGAATCCTAAGAAATTCACACTCTGACCTTTTGTGATTCTGTGAGAGGTCTGCTTCAGAATCCCAGTAGAGTCAGTGGCTGTCCAAAAGACACTCATGCGGAGGAAACTTTCAGAAAGACCCAAGGATCCCTTACATAATTACTTAACGTAAAATTTTGGGAAAGCAGGTCCAGAAAATTAGGGGAAAACCTTTCTGATAATGAAGCTGGGGTTTTTATTTTCTGTACTTAAATACTGATGGATACTGATCTTTTGTTTTCCCAAGGCAATTCAAAGTTCTTTTAAGTGTTGATGATAACCATCATGGATTGTCATGGGTAAACGACGGATGTGCTTGTAAACTGCCAGGGGATGGTTTTCAGTTAAACTTGGTTTGCTCAGTAACTGTGTATTAAGTGCCTCATAGGATGATGGGCTATAGAACTGCCAGTGACCTGAGAGGTCAGCTTAGAGCCCAGGTCTCTGACTTCAAACACTATTCTCTCACCATTTGTAGTGCCTTATTTCATAATTAAAATATTTAACAATTAGAGCCATCTCTGAATAGAATGGACTGCCTTAGGAGACAGTGAGTTCTCCTTTACTATAGGTCTTAGCATCTTAGGATTGAAATTTGAAACTGGAAGGGCCCTCAGAGGTCATGTAGTCCAATTATCTCTCCCCCCTCCCTCCACTTTTTTTTTTTTTTTTTAATAAATGAGGAAACGAAGGTCTTGAGAAGTTAAGTGATCTGTTCGATGTTACCAAGGTAGTGAGTGTCAACGTCAGGTTCTCTGACGTCTGATCCAACCCTGCTGGGCTGCCTCCTATGCAGCTCAATCCTAAGTCTGGTTGACCCCTTGAGACACCTTAAAGGGAGAGGCAGAGGGCTTGGATCTGTCTTTTTCTTAGTATAGGAAACTCCTGTTAGCAGTGTATGCCAACAACTTGTCTCTGACCAGCAGCTTTAGAGTGTCTGAGGGCACTGAGATAGAGGCCCTTGCTGAGAGGCCCCCAGCCAATAGATATCAGAGGCTGGGAAGCCTGGCTTCTTGGCTCTGAGGCTGCTCTGACCCTGTAGAAACCTTGGAATGGTGTAGAAATGGCATGCCTGGTGCTACTTCTGCTGCTGGATGTTAGCAGTGGCAGCAGCGGTAGAGGGGGATTCATTCCTAAGACTGGAGGCATTAGATTAAATACACTCTCTGGTCTCTTCTGATTCTGATTTTATGATGAAATATTGCCAGGTTAATGATGAAGTGAAAGTAACATATTTGTATTCTGCTCATACTATAAGCCATTTGAGCTAACCTTGGAGGTCATGAAATGCTTTGAGGTCTAGTGATAGATCTTTGACTAACTAGCTCTAGAACCCTAGGTAAGTACTGTCCACTCTCTAGGCCTCAGTTTCCTCATCTGTAAGAAGGAGGGGTTTGGGTTAGATTTCTAAGGTCCTCCCAGGTCTGACGTACCAGGATTCCCAAAAGAAGACAGAGTATCCAGCTCTCAGTAACTTTCAGCACAGAGTCGTTCATCGACACTGTGGAATGTTGAGGTAACAGAGGATCATGCGACACTTGCGGTGCTTAGAAAGTTCCTGGGCTTCTTGAGAAATTCATGGGGCAAGAGAAGGAAGGCCCAGGAAGAAAAGTCAGCTTTTGACTTGATCTTGAGGAGAGTAGTTGTGCAAGCTCAGGCTGCACTTGTGACGAGCCCCCATTTTCTGCCTCTCCACCCTGACCACTCCACCTCCCATGTCTCCGTGTCACCCCCACATCGGCTTTTTATGCTTTTCCTCTACTCTATCAACATCTTCTGAACCCATTTTCCCTGCTACCCACCCGGTACTGTTGCTTCCCTCTCATTCACCTCCATGGGGCCTCCTCCGCCCCAACTATCCCTTCACTGTTTTAAGCTAGGGTTTGGTTTCAGGGCCTAATGTTGATGTACTCAGAGCATTGGGCCCTGTCTCACACCTTGGCTGTACTATTTAATTATGCTCTCTGGTCCTGGGTTAAAATTCCTCCTCCTGGCCAGTTTTTTGTACCTTAGGACTTAGAACTGGGGCAGAAACAGACATGTACTGGTACCCCAGTGTCACAGCTGACCATTTCCTTTATTTGGACTAGTGTGCATCATGTTAGCCAAGAATTGTATTGAAGATGCTCAAAATAGATTTGAGACTTATTATAATTCTAAACTAAGCTTCTAGCCCTAAAGATACTTACATGATGATTCTCAGCCATTCCTGGTGGCAAAGAGAAAGTAACAATTAGGTAAGAAGACAAGACTGTTATGTTTCGAGGCCCCTTTGTAAAGAGCATCCTTAATTAATATCATCTCATTTTTATAATGGAGAGTGGAGCCCAGAGAAGCCAAAAATTACAAATCCACAATCATACCATTGGTGTCTAATGGAACCATGTTTGGAGAGAAGACCAGACTCTGTTCCTACCACCCAATGGTCATTTCCTTGCAAGCACGTTATGTGCAATTGTACAAATTGTGGCTGTCATCAAATGTTATTGCCACTGTTTTCTTCTTAGTGGATTATAGGTTTGCCCTTCAGTTCTGAGCTTCTAATAATTCCTAACTGGAGGATTGTGAATCTGATTCTAGCTTACTTTTCTAAGTTTCTGTTGTTAGAAAAATATACTGATAATATTTCTCTTGAGCTGCATGCTTTGTCCTGCCCCTTCCTACTGATCTGTAAGCTGTTGCATTGGCTTTCTTTCTGTTTCCTGCTGCTATCTTGCTTCCTAATTGAAGGGAGGATTCAGACCTATCCAGGTAACAAATTACTGGTTCTGCATGGCCTAGTTATTCCTCTACCAACTTATTACTGATATAATTTGTCCATTATTCCTTTTTCTATTGAATCAATTTACCCATGTGGAGAATTCATTTTTTGGTCTTTTGTTTCAAGGCCATTGAGCCTAATGTGAGAACAATGAATGACTTTGGTTATGGTTGCTTGCTTCTGATGCTATTTTAGATTTCAACACTTATTGCACTAGGTTACCTTATTGCTAGATCTATTTGTGTTCTCCACTTGTATGGCAAGCTACTTCAAATAGAAATGCAGGAGAAATTTGTTTAGTTCAGAATGGGGTTGTCATCTTCTCGAAAATTGAAGCACATGTCAATTGGCTAACTGAAGTTAAAAAAAAATTCTGAAGGCACCTTAACCCTGATTATAAACTTGCATTTAAATATGCAGGTAGAAACAGTAATTTCCCTGTCTTCTATGTGTCTTATGAACTCATATATAGAGAGTGGCCTATTTTGAACACTGTGAAACTTGTTTGGTATGAGGTATCCCTTGACTGCCTAAAACCCCAAGACTTTTACAACAGAATATAGATCTGCAAAAGGCATTTTACCAATTGCTGTTTTTCAAATGCTTTTTCAAAGTTGAAATTGTGATATGTGGTTTACGTTTTAAAATATTTGAGATAATTACACAATTTTCAGACATGTGACAACCCAAACTGAAAACATAACCTATAATAGAATATCAATTTTGCTTTAATCTAGTTATTCAGTTCTAGTTTATTTTCATTTACATTGTATTTAGATTTCAAGTTGATGAGAAAAATTTGAAATGATTCCGGCAAACAGTTAATTTGGTCCTTTTTGCCGAAGAAAATAAACCTCTTTCTTTCCCCCTCCTCAGTTTTTTCAGAGGCCTCAAATACAGCCTCCTAGAGCTACCATCCAGAACAGCAGCCCTTCCATCCGTCCCGGTGCCCAAACACCAACTGCAGTGTATCAAACCAATCAACACATCATGATGGTTAACCATCTGCCAATGCCGTATCCAATGCCCCAGGGCCCTCAGTACTGTATACCACAGGTAACGTATTCCCTAGGTACATGGGACCCAGAAAAATGTCTGCAGTAAACTCAAAGTTATTACCAGGTTAGCAGGGAGGGGAAACAGTGGGGTTCCTTTTTGAGGTGGGACCTATTTTATTGTCCATGAATCTCACCATTTGTCATTTTCATTACATAGAGCGATAATTTTGATCTCTTACTTAAGAGATACAGAGGGGTTAGAAAATTCAATGCAATTCAACACACATTTTTTAGTGCTTTCTATGTGTAAGGCTCAAGGTTAGATCTTGCATATCAAAGGCACTGTGGGCTCAGAGAGAGAAAGCACAAAAACTTGCTCTCAGGGAGTTTACAATCTAATTAGAGGATGGGAGAGAAACTTTTTTTTTTTTTTGACCATGCGAAGATAATTCTACACCCCTCTCTTATGCCATCCCCAAACCATGGAGCTAAGTATCTACTTGTGTTATGCCTGTGATAAATACCCTTCGGGTTCCTTAAAGGCTGCCAACCTCAAATCAAGATAGTCTAGTTAGCTCTTGTCTACCTGAGCACTGCTTTGTTCTGTGTCTTTTCCTAACAACACCTCTCTCAGATCTCTCCCTCACTGAATCTTTGGTGACCAGTGATCATTTTGAATGTGTTTAATAGGATTGCTTTATCTCATTTAAAATGATTCTCTTCGGAAATTACTTGTTAAGAGCTTTAGTTCACCATTCCGTGTTGTATACCAATTATTTTTAAAGCATCTACAATTTCTCTCTCCTAGTACCGGCATAGTGGCCCTCCTTATGTTGGGCCTCCTCAGCAGTATCCTGTCCAGCCTCCGGGGCCTGGCCCCTTTTATCCTGGACCAGGGCCTGGGGAATTCCCCAATGCCTATGGTAAGTAGGAAAAGTCAAGTCATTTTTGCCAGATGTGTTGTTTTTATTGATTGGGGGCTGGGGAGTTCCCAAGATTTTTCAAGGAAATATTGTAGAAGAAGCCTGAAGATTTGGATTCATATTTTGCTGTGTAATGGCCTTGTTTTTGGGCAAGTCACTTTTCCTCTGCTCCATCAAGAGCTGATGGTGGTTGCAAGGATCAAATAAAATAATGTGTGTTCAAGTTTTATATTAGGAATGTACCATATTATCATGAAGAAACACTATGAGAAAATATGGCCTGGGCAAGGAATTTTAAGATAGAAAAGAGCCCAAATTTTGGGTCGGAAGACTTGTCTTTGAATCTTGCATTGCCATTTGAGAGCTATGTCACCTCTGGCTAGATAAGGATTTTACAACTCTGACCCTCAATTCCCTCATCTAGAATGAACGAGTTGGACTAGATGCTCTCGTAAGACCTTTCATATTGGAATTCTGTGATCTTCTGCTGGGACACAGACCTGAAGATCACAATTTGGGATTTGAGTCCCTGCTTTCTCAATAATATAGCCAACTCTCAATTTCCTCATCTGTAAAATGGAAACTTGGTTCATTTTACCTATTTTACTGAGTTGCAATGGGGATAGGGTTATAAGATAAGAATATTAATCTTATTTTATTATTTAATAATTAATGATTATTAATTAATAAAACACTTTTACATAAAATAATATTAGATAGCAAAGTGTTTTGAAAGGTTACAAATGCCATACATAGGTATTGTGCAAAGTTCCTGTAAGTACCAAATTTATATTTGGTTTGTAAGTAGATGTTAAACCCTCCAATAATTGAAATTCACTTTTAATTCAATAAAATTGTACTCTCGGTCAAACATCATTATGATGAATAGAGATAAATCTAAAAATGATTAACAATGAAGGATACAGTTTACTTGATTTCATATTTTCAGTCAGTATAGGTCTTAAGCAGAGGCAAGGCTATTCTAAAAATCCCTCCTTTTTCTTAAGAAGGTGGTCTGCTGTATGTAAACTTGCATCTCTTTGCTTATTACCCATTCTGGCATGCTCAGGGGGTTCTGGTGTGATTAGATCAGTATCATTGTAGCAATAAGAAAGCTGTTCATTCTCATTCCAAGCCCTGAGCTGGACAGAGTGTGAGGGGGTGACTTATTTCCCACACTTTGAAGGCATTGAGTTCCTTTTGTAGAGCTGGGGACTGGTAGTAGTCATCTGGGTAAGCCCTGGATTTGTATGGTGGGGTCCTGGTATGAAATCCCAGCTCTGCAGCTTCCTGCCTGTTTCACGGGGCTGTTGGCTGGAGAGTTCTGCATCACTGTGGAGAGATGCTGTTATTCTACCCCTGTAACCTTGAGCAAGTGTCAGGTTCTTTCTCTGTATATAAAATGAGGCACTTTGGACTTGTAAAGTCCCTGTGATCTTGTGGTACTGTAGGCCTAGGAGGTGACAACTTTGAGGTTCTAATTGCACAGGTGACTGGGGAGCGGGTAAATGTAACGGTGTCACCCTCAGAAGGGTAGAGAAGTTCAAAAGAGGGGTGGGTTTAGGGAAAGATAATGAATTCTACTTTTCACATGTTGAATTTGAGGTGTTTAAGGACAGTTTAAAAGTAGGCAATTGGTAATTTCCCCTGTAATCTTGTTTGATCTAAAGTAGTTTGTTTTTTTTTTTGTTGTTGTTGTTTTGTTTTGTTTTGTTTAGTTTTTTAACCATTTAATATAGGGTAGGAGTATGCTTGTATTTTCTTAGTGTAGAATAGGGGTGGGGAACCTGCAGCCTTGAGGCCGCATGAGGCCTTCTAGATCCTTAAATGCAACCTTTTGACAGAATCTAAATTTTCTGTAATTTGGATTCAGTCAGAAAGCTGCATTTAAGGATCTCGATGGCCCCATGGGGCCTCAAGGCTGAGAACATTTCCTCTCACTACCCAGACTAAAGAGGTTTTGGAAAGACATATTCTACTGTAGAGATTAGGTGGATAACTTTTTTCCTCCATAAAAGAGAATTAATGTTTATGGGTCACATAATTTGGCTGCTGTTTACCTGATGATATCTACCCAAGCCTTAGTACTGTTTTCTGTGAGATCTCAGGAGGGATGTTATAGGACAGCTTATTCCATCCATTCCCTGAAGCAGGAATTAAAAGGAGACAAGGAAGCTTGGATGCACAGGAAGAGACAAATATTTGCGTGCTTTTGCCACCCCCCGCCATGCCTTTCTCTCTTTTTTTCCCCACTGTGTTTTTGAATGCTTTTTAACGTAATGTTTAACTTTTACACTGAATGCTTCATTCATTTGTTCATTCAATGAATCTTAAGTAAACTTGGAGATACCAAGATTTAACTCTGACCATGATCTCAAGGAACTTCCTGTCAGATTGGGGATCTGAGGCCTTAGTATATATAATATGGGGAGAGTGAGATCAGCTTAGACAGGGGAATTCCAAACCTAGTGCTAGGAAAAATTGGAAAAAGCAGAGGAAACTTTCAGCTGGGAGGAATGCTGTTTATGGAAGAAATGACCCCTGGGTTGGGCTGGTGGCTCAAAGGACAGCTGAGTGAGGTGGTCAAAGACTTGGAGAAGGGAGAGGAAAGGCTAAAAGGAAGTCCTCCTTCCAGTTCATCCTGCACTCTGCTGTCAAGTTGACCTTCCTAAGGCACCAGTCTGACCATGTCACCTATCTACTCAGTAAGCTCCAGTGTCTCCCTGTCACCCCCAGAATCAAATGTAAAGTCCTGTTTGGCATTCAGAGTGCTTTATAACCATCCCCTCCACCCCGCCTTTCCAGTCTTCTTCCACTTCACCCTCATACACTGTGGTCCAGTTGTGCTGGCCTCCTTGCTGTCATTCCTTGAACAAGACCCTTCATCTCCTGACTCCAGGCATTTTCACTGGCTGCCCTCCCGTGCTGGGAACTCTCTCCCCCCTCATTACTGCCTCCTGTACTCCCTGGCTTCCTTCAAATCCTAGCTAAAATGCCCCCCCCCCTTTCTACAAGAAGTCTTTCCTCATCCCACTTAATGTAGTGCCCTCCCTCTGTTGATTATTTCCAGTTTACCTGTTTGTAGCTTGTTTGAGTATAGTTGTTTGCATGTTGTCTGCCCTGTTAGCTTATGAGCTTGAGAGCAGGACTGTCTTCTACCTTTTCTTTGTATCTCCGGGGCTTAGAACAATACTGAGCCCATAGTAGACACTTATTAAATGTTTGTTGAGTGACTAGTCTCCTACCCTGTCCCTTGTCCATTCCTTTGTTCATGCCATTCCCTCATTAATCACAGTGCCTGGTTTTGACCAGCTCTCAAAAGTGCCTAATATCTCCATGGTAAATTTCAAATTGCTGCAGTCTGTATCTCCTTTCCGAAGCTCATCCTGGAGAAATGTGTGATGCAGAAGCCTCGGCGCTAAGAGATCAGTAATTTGGCCTTGGCCACTCCCCAAACAAAGAAGAATACAGAGTGATCTCTGGTGCCCTGTTGGCCCCCTTTCCTGTTCTTTGGTGATTGGAAGCGCTAACAATTGTACGGTTTTTAAGACCATCTGTAAGCTTGAAGTGCTGGCACTCTGTAAAGTGATGGATGAATGGACATATTACAAGAGGAACTGAATCATTACAACCTCGAGCTTCTCCCTCAGAATGAAGCCAGAAGTGAAAAGGAAGCTGAGCTCAGCTGGCTTTCAGGTTTTCTCTGGAGAGACAAATAAAGAAATTGGTGGAGTTTTACTGTGTGTTCAGAGGCAATAAGAAACATTTCATTTGACATTTATTACTCTTGGATGACAGTACTCAAACTGAGCATTTGTAGAAATATTATAGCTTATATATAAAAACACCCTCCATTGCAGAAGATGAGAAAATAGAGAAATTCAGTGAATAGTTCATTAAGATTGTACAAATTAGACCACCATATATTTCAGTACCCAGTGACTCCAGTTCAAAGGGTAGTGATACTGGAGGATGGTGGATAAGGGAGGCCTGAGGATTAAATAGCAAAAGAGGCCAAAGGCTCAAAGATTCTGCACAGAAGCCTCAAGCTTTTGTGTCATGAATGCCTTTCAAGAAATGAGTTGGGAAGGGCTGGGCGTGGCAAGCAGTGCATAAATAATATCACATGTAATGTAGGTGACCACACTAGACTGGAGATGATTTGGTGGTGGTGTGGGAGTTGCTCTCAAACCATTAGCTTGTACACTTGTCCTACTTGAGGCCCTCAGCTCCCCACACTTTGGGCTACTATAATAGCCCCGAGATGGTACCCTGTCTTGAGTGTCCCTAGTCTCCAATCCATCCTCAATATGAGCGGCAAAGTGAGACTCTTAAGGCCCAGACCTAGCTGTGCTCTGGTGTTCCTGCTCAGGAAGCTTGGGTACTTCTCTGTTGGCTCTGGGAAAAACCATGAACTCCTTTGTTGGCCATTTAAAGCCCTTCCCAGTCCAACTCCAAGCTGTCTTTTGGACTGATTTCCTATGGCTCGCCCACCCCACCCTGCTTTCCAGCCAGTTGGGCCCTCTCCTATTTCACCAGAGATGCCATTCCATCCCCTCCCCATCTTATACCTGTAGTGCTCCCCATCCTCAGGTGTTTCTTGGTATCCCCAGCTTCCTTCAAGGCTTACCTCAAGTACCACCTCCTATTCAAGCTCTTCACTGCTTCTCAGTTGTCAGTATGTCCCTGCACCTAATTACTTTGAATTTACTCAGTATAGATTGTTGTATCTGTGTATCTTTTTACATGTTGTTTCACTGTTGTAGAATATAAACTCCTGAGGGGAAGGGATCTTCCATTTTTCACTTTTTTTTTCCTAGGGCCGACCTTGTTCCCAGGGCTTAGTAAGTGCTTAAAAATATTTGTTGTATTGAAGATCAAAATAAAACAATTAGAACAAATGATAAAAATGAGATCAGAAAGTGTGCAAGGAACACACACAGTACTGTACAATGAGCTGCTGACACCGAGAACTACAAGGCTGCATAGTGGCTAGAAAACTGCCTTGGAGACCTAAGAAAGGTCAGACGGCCTGGGGAACAGGCCCTGCTCAGTCATACCAGCCTGAGGGAGACAGACCAGGAGGCTGCAGAGCAGAAGCTGATCAGCCTGGCCACGAGACAGTTGCTCCCTGGGCACTGCTCATGGCAGGGAAGTGCTAGGTCTCTGTAAGAGGGTCCTGGATTCCCTTGTTTGGAATCCTACCTCTGTCACGTATTGTGACCTCTGGTAAAGTAATTCCCTTTTGAGGCTTAATTTTTGTCCTCTGTAAAATAAGGAGGTGAATTAAATGATTACTAAGATCCTTTTTTATGGGGCAGCTTAGTGGTGCAGTGGATAGAACATTGTTCCTGGAGTCAAGAAGACCTGAGTTCAAGTCTGGCCTCTGACACTTACTGTGTGACCCTGGGCAAGTCACTTAACCCTGTTTACCTCAGTTTCCTCATCTGTAAAACGAGCTGGAGAAGGAAATGGCAAACCACTCCATATTTTGCCAAGAAAACCCCAAATGGGGTTACAAAGAGTTGGACATGATTGAAATGACTGAACAAGATCCTTTTTATCCCTAAGCCTAAGCTTCTGTCCTCATGATGATCCCTTCTAACTTATAGATTCTGTAAGGGCTCACATATTTATTTGCTTTCTGACTTATCTCAATATATTTGTCTCTGGAGGTATTTCTGAGTATTTTGGTGTGTGTATATGTGTGCACGTATCTTTGTTTTTGTGTGTGTTTTTGCATATATATGTATATATATGCATATAGATAAAGCACTTAAGTGCTTACTGTGTGTCAGACACACACTCTCTCTCATACTTTAAAACCTTATGTATTTTAAACGAATTTATTTTGATACCAGATTCAAATAGAATTGAATAGAAAAAAGAAGGAAAAGTCACTGAAACCAATTATTTTCCATTAAAACAAGTAATGAAGGAAAATGACAGATTAAGGGTTTTTGCTCTTGATTTTTATATTCCTTAAACAATATCATTAATGTTATTTCTCCATAGCAATAATTAGATATTTCACTAGGATGAAAATTGCAGTTAATTATGATATTAAAATTGTCTGCCATCATAATCCTAAAATTGACTGTAGACTAGGTTTAATTATTTTGTAAGCTATTTGGTAGGATAAATGGCCTCCAATTCTAATGTCTTCCATTAGAAGGAAGCTTTGGTATGTATTTGTTTGCTGGTATTGTGAGATTACACCATTCTCCTGTGCTATTGACTCAACAGTGTTTTCATTAGGAGATTTTGTAAAAATGACTGGTTCACCTTTTGGGTCTTATTTCCCTTAGAGAGAAAAATTTGGCAAGCTGAGTAGATGGTGTTGTTCTAGGAGCATTTGAAACCTCATTTGTGAGAGTATGCTGTTTCTCAAGTTCAGTAGTTAAGGACTTGAGAGGTCAGCATGGTTTCAGAATAGAATATAATTGTGTTTTCAGCGTTGAGGCAACGCTATGAAAAGTTTCCTGAAATAATCTTAAAGGCAGCATGCTATCATGGAAAGAACTCTGGCTTTGGTGTCTGTGTACCTGGGTTTGAATCCTGGCTTAGCCATTCCTTTAGTAGGTCACTTAACCTCATTTATTAGCCTCACTTCCTTCATCTATGAATTGAAGGGATTATACAGGATGATATCGAAGGTTCTTTCATGCCCTACGCCCTATGGTTCACTAGCCTTTTTTCCCCTCTTTATGCTGTACATTTTAACTGCTGGAAAATATACTCTCCCTAGGAGATCTCATCTATTCTTACTTCTACTCGGATGACTCCCATCCTTAACCTCTCTCCCCAGCTCCAGGCCTGTGTTTCAACCTGCCTTCTGCCTCCTTCCACTTGGATGCCTTCCCATCAGCTCAAATCAACATGCTTAAAATTGGACTCATCATCTTTCCCCCAAAACTGACTCCCCTTCCAGACTTTGCTATTTCTGTTAATGGTAGGCTTTAAAAACCTTAGTCATCTTGACTCCTCTCTCTCCCTCACCTCTCATTCAGTCACCAGTTATTATGGATTCTTTCTTTGTGATGTCCTGGCATTAGTTCCTTCTTTTCTGTTCACAATGCTACCACCTAGTTCAGGTCCTCATTTCCTCTTGCCTGGACTATTGAAGTAGCCTTCACTAAATTGGTCTCCCTGCCTCAGTCTCTATCCTCCACTTTTCTCCAGTCCATCCACCCATCCATCCATCCATCCATCCATCCACCCACTCATCCACTCATTTGTCCATCCATCCACCTATCCATCCATCTGTCCATTCATTCAGTAAACACTTATTAAGTGCCTACTATGTGTAGAGTACTATGTTAGGTGCTGGGGGTTATACAAAGTTTAACCAAGATGGTCACTGTCCTCATGGAGTTTACAGTCCTTGCTGTAGACCTTACCAGATTAATTTTCCTAAAAAATTATTTCAATCTTGTCATTCCCTCTGTTCAAAAACCTTTGGTGGCTCCCCATTGCCTCTAGGATAAAGCCTAAATTCCTTAGCCTCATTTGGAGCTTTGTGCAGCCTAACCCTAAACTATGTTTCCTTTTTTTTTTTTTTTTTTTTTTTTTTTTTTTTTTTTTTTTTTTTTTTTGTCCGATTGCTCCCCTCCAGTGAAACTTGAACATGCCTCACATTTTCCCATCTCCTTACCTCGGTTTAGGCCATTCTGCCTATCTCCCTGCCCAGATCTAGAAGGCCCTCAGCACTCTTCTCTGTCTAGCCAAAGCCTCTCCATCATGCCAAGTCAGTGAAAATCCCTCCAATTCTTTGAAGTCTTCCCAGGTCACACCTGCCCACCATCACTGCACATTCCTCTGGGCTCAGTATCCCTCATTGTCTTTGTCATTCATTTGGCAATTAGTCCTTTCCTGCCTTGGGACATTTCTTGTACTGCTGCCTTTATCTAAATCTTGTTTGATTAACTTTTCATGTATTTATGATTCATCTCCCCTACCAGGTTGTAAACTCCTTCAAGGCAAGGACTGTAATTTAAACTTAATAATCAATTTTCCCTTTCTGCCATTACCCTTCCTCCCCAGCATAGTGCCTTATTACATAGTAGACATTTCCTAAGTATTTGTTGATTGTCTGAAAGTAGTATTGTGTAGGCCTTTTTATGCTTGATGCACAATGAAGATAGGGGTTTTCTACTACTTATGGTTGAATTCAGCCTTTTGCTGGTTAACCTTCCATAGCTGGGAGTGAGCAGTAGAGATTTACTGACAAATAAAATGGTTGGGGCTTTTTAAAGTGGCCTTTCTTGGGCCATGGGTTTAAAAAGGGAAAAAGTCATTCTGCATCAGGCAGAGATGGCCAGTGACCTGAAGCCTTGTTTTCCTCCTTTCCTAATTCTCTAGGAACACCGTTCTATCCAAGTCAGCCCGTGTACCAGTCAGCACCCATCATAGTGCCTACACAGCAGCAGCCTCCACCAGCCAAGAGGGAGAAAAAAACGGTAAGAGGGCTTCTCTTGTGTTTGCATTACAGATGTATCTTCATCAGTCGTGGCCACCGATACTTATGCTGAGCCTTTTAGATTTATCATCATTGGTTACAGTGGTAAAGGCAGGTTTTAGAATTCTGGAAGGTCCCTCATGGCAGTAAATTCACATAAAGAAATCACACTTGCAAGAAAGCCTTGTTCCCCATAGACTTCTGCATGTGTTAAATGTTAAGTGAGCTCACTTGGGCTCTGGCAAGTGGTAAATGTGTAAAACGAGTAACTTTGCTATTTCCTGACTATTTTGTGGAGCCTTGCCTAAACTGGTCTGACAATTGGTGAAGAAAGAATTTATACAAGCATTTGGTTCCCCTGGACTGAGTATCCTGATCTTGTATGTTTTCCTCATTGATGTGTGTATGTCCTCCCACTGTTGGGAGAGGGCATAGGTGTGATGTTTTTCCTGCTCTCTGCTGGGCCCTGGGTGATTCGAAACTGTCGCCCTGGCCCAGCTTTATTTCACAGACCTTTCCCTGCACCATCCTGCTGGCGACCTGCCACTTGAACTCCCCACTCTCTGAAGATCCTTTTGGGTTTCTGTGGAGAGTTAGTTAAGGAAAATAGGTTCAAACCAGTGTACAAAGCATAGGCATTTCCTTAGTGGAAATAGGTATTGTTTTAATAGCAACATGACTCTAAGTGTTTGCAAGGAGGGAGAGTTATAGTAAGTGCCCTCTGATCGTGCTGGATGGTACAGCCCATCTCCATGTATCTGACTGGTTCCTTGCTTTACTCCACATGTATCCAGGTGTTCCCCTTCAGTTGAACATCAGACAAAGTGTCACCTGTGTGGCAGAGCAGATGGGAGTGTAAGGTTTGGAGTCAAGAAGGACCAGGTTCAGTTCCTGCCTCTGATATTGTGTCCATGGGCAAATCACAACCTTCATGAGCCTCAGTTTCCTCAGCTGTAAAGAGACAATTATAATACCTTAGTGCCTACCTTGTAAAATGTTTATTAGGTTCAAACAAGATGAAGTCCCTTAATGCCCTACAAAATGTAAAATAATTAGCTTAATGAGTGTCAGTTATTAGCATCATAATAAGTCACAGAAGGACAGAAACAACCAACATGTGCAGTAGGTAATAGCAGTGCACATTTCTGTAGCATTGTAAGGGTTAGAAAGCACTTTCCCCATTCCTTCTCCCCATTTTACAGGTAAGTCAGCAAAGTCAAGTGATTTTTTTTCACTATTAACCAAATAGGCAGTGGCAGACCCTGGATTCATGCTGTGACCCCAAGCCTAGTGCTGTTGTTATTACAGCCCATTTCCCCTGATCAGTCTCATCTGATAGCCTCCCTTTTCATCTGCCATACTCATCAAGACAATAATTGTTCCCCAAAGAGCCATTTCCAAAAGCTCCTTCCTGGTCATTTCAGTGGTAGCTTCTTTGTTGTTTGCTTTATCTTATTTTCTCTATCATGAGACACACCAAAGCGAAGAGATTTGATAAACCTTCTTGAACTTCCTGAGTGTGCATTATTGAGGCATTGTATAACCGTATTCCAGTTGAAATTGAAAAGCATCATTAATTCTTTTCAAGAATATTTTTAGGACACTGGCCAGCTGCATACCTTGATTAGCATAACTATTCAGTAGATCCCTGTGTTGCTGCAATTCTGATAGCTTGCAGCCTTTTTCAGATATTTTCCCTGGAGATTCTTTGCAATTGCTCATTTCATTTTCAAATGCTGACAGTAATGTGAAGTTTGGATGGATTGTTGAGATCACACATTACTTGGGCCTTTTTTTGGGCCTGGTTCTCTAGTGCAGAGGTTGTAGCTTATTGATAAAATGTGTTATTTAGAGATATTCAGAGAAGAGAAATTCTGCTTTCTTTTTAGAGTAAAGTTCATAAACTCTTAGAGTACCTTGGGCAAGTAACTTAACCGTGTTTGCCTCAGTTTCCTCATCTATAAAATGAACTGAAAAAGGAAATGGCAAACCTCTACAGTATCTTTGCCAATAAAATCCCAAATGGGTTCGTGAAGAGTCAGACATGACTGAAATGATTGAACAACAGCATCATGAACTCTTAAGCTTTATTAATTCCTTCTGATTCTTTGATCATTTCCAAAAATACCCTCCATTCCCCAAATTGAACCAACCATTTAAAAAAACGTTAAGGAAAAACAACTGAAATAGTTACCGTGACTGACAATTAACGTGTGATATTCAGCTCTGGTAGTTTCCCACCTCTGCCTAGAGGAAGGAGCTATATTTTTAAAACTCTTGAGAGAGAATCCTGTTTTCTTAAATACCATGCATTATTCTGAGTTTATTTGAACGTTTCAAGTAAAAGCTTTCAAAATCAGTCATATTAATATGGTCATCAAATTCCTCAGGCACATTTTCCCAACGGAACAAAATATGTTCATTTCCGATTCATCAAACTCTTTCCTCTACTACTACGGGTAGTTTTCAGCTGAATTTTCTTTCATTCCCTTTTTTTTTTTTGCATTCATGTCTGTTCTTTTTTCTTTGAGGCTATAGATAAGAGGAAAGTGAATATAGTCTTGTTTTGAATAAGCATGACCAGGTATGGTTGACATTACATTGTTCTGGATTAGTGCAGAAAAAGAGGGAACATCATAGAGTTGAGAAAATTCTACAATGTTCTAAGAGTCATCTACAAGATCTCGGAGTTCTCTGGAGAGGCAGCAAGATGAAGTAAACAGAACTGGCTCTTGGAATCAGAAAAGCCTGGTCCAATTCAGTTCTGCTCTCTGAAGCTCTGATTGTACATCCAAAAAAAATGGGGATGATAACTACATTCACTGTCTCAGAGTCATTATCAACAAAGTGCTTTTTAAATCATAAAGAACTGTATCTCTGTGAACCATTAGTTTTAGTACCTGAGCCTCCTAACATTAGAGAACTGGCCATCATTTTGTTATCCCTAAATATCATCTCATTCTCTAGGACTGTTTTTTTCCCCATATACACTGGTGTTTCTCTGTTATGCTGCATTCAGGGACCATGTTTTGAATTTAGATGTGAAACTGCCTAATGATGAGATCCATTTGGTACTAGATTAACTGATTCCTGGAATTCACATCAAGATAGCTGCATCTTTATGCACATTTGCTCTGTGTAGGAAACAGAACACCCAGAACAGTGGACTTTCTACAATATTATGATGGAATTAAGTGAGGAAAAAAGGATATGATGCATTGAAATTCATTTCACTAGAAGTCATTTCCCCTACCACATAAAACATAAAATTCTGTAGAATTATTACAAGAAGTTGGGAAATATTAGTTCTTACTATGGTTCCCCCTCCATGTGGCTGTGGAATCTTAGGTTAACCACTTCCACTCTGGAGCTCCTTATTTTTTGCATTAGTAAATAGAGTCAATGGCTTCCAAATGGAAGTTCTTGCTTTCCAATGTGAGGTAGCACAGTGGATTGAATGTCAGCCTAGAGTCAGAAAGACTCTTCTTGTAGTGCTCAAATCTGAGGTCTTCTTGGCAGAGATACTGGAGTAGTTCACCATTTCTTTTTCCAGCTCATTTTAAGATGAGGAAACTGAGGCAAACAGGGTGAAGCAACTTGCTCAGGGTCACACAGCTAGTAAGTGTCAAGTGTCTGAGTTCAGATTTGAACTCAGGTCCGCCTGAATCCAGGGCCAATGCTCTATCCACTGCACCACCTAGCTGCCCCATGAAATACTATTGTGATCTAAGAAATAATGAAGGGAATGGTTTCAGAGAAACCTGGGAAGACCTGATGAACTGATGTAGAATGAAATGGACAGAACCAGGAAAGAACAGTTTGAGTAATAGCAGTAGCATTGTAAAGATAAGCTTGGAAAAACTTAAGAACGCTGATCAGTGCAATGACCAGCAGGAGTCCTAGTGGGCTCATGATGAAGTCACATCACCAAGTATTTATTAAGTGACTGCCATGTAGTGAGTGCTGGAGATACAAAAAAAGCCCCTCCCAAAAAACAGATCTCGCTTTCAAGTAGCACAGTGTAATGGTGGAGAAAACATGTAGACAACTAATTATGGACAAATAAGATACATACAGGAAAATTGGAGATACTGTCAGAGGAAAGTTACTAGAATTATTTGGTTTTGTTTTGGTGAGGCAGTCGAGGTTAAGTGACTTGCCCAAGGTCACACAGTAAGTGTCAAGTGTCCACGGCTGGATTTGAACTCGGGTCATCCTGACTGCAAGGCCAGAGCTTTATCCACAGACACTAGAATTATTAAGGAGGACTAGGCCAGGATTTTTAAAGAAGGTGAAACTTTAATTGAGACTTGAAGGAGGGCAGGGGCAGGAGGCAGAGCTGAGCAGGCACAAGGGTCAACGAATGAGTGTTGTGTGTGAGGTCAGTGTCACTCCTTTGCAGTTTGTAGAGAGGAGTAAGGTGAGAGCAGACTGGAAAGGTAGGAAGGGGCCAGGTGGTGAAGAGCTTTAAAATGTAAAGAGAGGATTTTGTGTGATCCTGGAGGTGAGAGGGAGCCCCTGGAGTTATTGAACTGGCAGATGGTGTGGTCAGACCTTCACTTTAGGAAGTGGCTGGGAGAATCAAGGCTGAAGTGATGAAGGCTTTGTACCAAGATGGTTGCAGTGTCAGAGGAGAGAGAGAAGGTGGTATATATGAAAGAGGGTGACCAAAGTAGAGAACTTGAATTAGGAGATGACTTTGTACAGGATGTCCCCAAAGTCTTTTGATTTAAAACTGTACTTCGACTTTGGGGACACTAAGGCTTTTGTTTATTTTATAGTAGAGTTTTGTGAAAATCCAGACAGATTCCTGTGCTAAGTCTTTAATGATAGCAGTAGATATTAAATAAGGAAACTAAATGTTAGGCTTAAAGCAGCAATGATTCACTTGTCTGCTGATTTTCCGGGACCAGCATGTGCCATTCATATGTGGATACCTGTCCATTTGAAGATGCATGGAATAGGTAGGTGTTAATTTCAGGAGATCAGCTAGAATCATTACATACCAACTGAAATGTGTGTTTAAAGGAGGGCCCTATACAGAGAATTGTTGACTTTTAAAGCTGAAAAGACTTTAAAGGGAATCTCATCCAATCTCTGATTTAATAGATTTTGAAATTCCACTTCATAGAAAAGTGGAGTGAGTTTTCTGAGGTCTCAGAATTAACTGGTCATTGCTTATATTGTAGTAAATATTAAATTACCTCTAGCTTGATCTGATCAGAATAAACAAAACAATGAACCCACAGGAAGTTGAAAGAGACAGTCTGAAATTTTTCTTGCCTAAGATATTCAGAGCAACTAATCCTCTTTGAACAAGTCTTTGTTCCTGTATATCTTAAGTCGGGTATTGGCTGCTAATTTTGGATGAAAATTTGAATGATTTCCAAAATTAACCATTTTGTTATTTCTGTAAATCTTTTCTGTATATACCTCTTACTACATATAAGCATCTTTGGGGCACTGCCTTGGATGAATGTACGAGGACCATAAGATTATAGGTCAAAACTATAAGGAACTTCAGAGGTCTTCTCATTTTACAACAGGGAAAACTGAGGCACAGAGAAAGGAAGTGACTAGCCTACAGTCATGTAGATAGTAAATGGCAGAGCTAGGATTTTGAATCCTTGCCTTCTGACTCCCAACCCAGTATTCCTTGCATTGCTCTATACTGCCTCCATAGGAAATTTGTGTGACGCATAGACTGATCTCTACAACATCCCCCATAAAGGGCCATTCAGTCTCTGCATATGGTGTTTTGTTTTCCTTTGGTAGATACGGATCCGGGATCCAAACCAAGGGGGTAAGGACATAACAGAGGAGATCATGTCTGGAGGTGGCAGCAGAAACCCTACCCCTCCCATAGGGAGACCTACATCAACACCCACTCCTCCTCAGGTAAGAGGCAGTAAATACTGGTGGGATCCCATCTGCATTTGGTTACTAACCACTCCGGAGCTTTGCTGTTTTCTAGAACCACTCTCTATACTTTCCGTTTCCATTATTTGTCTCATTGCCTTGAATATCGAGATTCTAGATGGTATTTTGAAAAATGTATTGTTTTTTAAAAAATAAAAAAAAAGCCTATCGGTAACAGTTTGATATGTGGTCCTCACAATCAGAACCTTGGCTGCTGGTCACATTTCCTAATGTGCACTTGCATGATGTTACAAGAGCTGCTGTGCAATGGAAAGGATTTTGTGTTTACTATAGAACTTTAAAAGTTCTTTAGGCTTTAACAGCTGTCCCCTGTGCTTGGGCAACCACTAAGGTTGGGAGTATAAGCTGGATTGTGACCCCCTGTGTTGCATCATCACCTGTGTTCTTCAGCACATCTATTACTGATGTGTTGTAGCTGCACAGAGGACCTTGTGAGACTCCTTTGAGGAAATCACCCTTTAATCATCAATTAAATAATTTCATAAACAGATATATGATATCACTTCAGGACATGGAAGCCGTGAATCCAAACACAATCACAGCTAGTATGGCCATGGAAATGAAGAAAAGCCACTGAAAGCAGTTGCCCCTCTGCAACTTTGTAATGATGCATTTTGCTCAAAAGGCTCCTTCAGACTGAGCAGAAATGTACACATTAGCTTGGTCACGTGCGCCAGAAACCACTTTGATAATACACAGATTGACACTTCAGTTAGAGTGTGAGAAGGCCCTGGAGGTCAGAAGCCCAAATCAAATAGTGCTTACACTCTTCTGGAGGGATCTCCCACTTACACTTTTAAGTAAATTATCGGCAGCGTTCTCTCTGGACAGAAAGAGGACTAACAGCTGGGTCCAGGCGAAGCCAGACCCAAGCTGAGCCAGGGTTCCGAGGGACATCAGGGAGCAGGGAATATTTTCCAGGCAGATAAGTGGTAGGTGGCATGCACAGTTGAGGGACCATTTGTTGGTCTGTTTCAGATTTTACCAGTGGACACAGAGAGGAATTAGGAGATAAAGGTAGAAAAGGGAGGTTGGAGACAGATTTTGGAGGGTCTTCCACACCAGGATGAGGAGTTTATGCAGGAGTCAGTAGGGAATGGGGAGGAGGAGGGGAAAGGAGTGAGTGTTTCTGTAGCACCTGGTGGATGCCGGTTGTGGTGCTCTGCAAAAACAATTGTCCCACCCACACCTGGTGTGTCAGTGTCCACCCTGTCCCAGTTCCTCGGGGCTCCTTCGGCTTTAGCTCCACTCACATTTACTGGACTACATCATCTCAGATAACTTTCAAGCTCTTGACTTTATAGATTCTGAATTCAGTGCTCTAAAGGCCCTTCTTTAGTTGTAACATTTTTTTCCCCTTCACATCTTTTCCTCCACGGACATTTAGGACTCTATATCATTTAAAATAAGTGGATTGTCAGTACAGAAGCTTAGGAAATTTTTGGTTTTGTAGAAATATTTGGTTCTAGTTCATTAGTCTCGTTGAACAGGAATTAGTTGGAGGGGTCATATATGAAATACTTTGGTTAACAGCCAACAAATGATGTGGGAGCAACTTGTAAAATCTGACCAGTGATTGTTAGAACAAAAGCAAAAATCAGTACAGTGCTAGAAGAAAATAAGAATGAGAAGACAGTGGGCAGTTAGAGTAGCTCCAACTTGACACATTGGCAAAATGATACCACAGAATTAGAACTGGAAACCACCTGTTTGCTTCCCTTTGTATTCATCTAACCCCACGTCCAGCAGATATAAAGCAGCCACCCTTTACATTGAAGAGGCCAAAGGAACCCAATAATCATCTTTCTACAAATACTTGATCTTCATGATTAGCACGGAGAGGCACATGGCAGCTGAGAGCAATTCTGGCTTAGATTAGAAATTCATTTACAAAATATTATGGAGGGAATTGTAAGAAGAATAAAGGAAGGAGTGATAGAGGGAAAAATGTATTTGTATCTAGATTGCTAATATAAGTCAGTTAATCCAGAGAACATTCCAAACCATTTAAAAGGAAACAGATGAAAAATGGAATATATCTGTCAGCATTTTTATAACAATCTTCATCATACAAAGTGAACTACAATATTTGAACTAGATTCTAATATCTCACACCCTGTTGTGTAAATTTGAAGAATGCAAATGGCACTGAGGAAAAAAAGATGAGGACAGTTGGACTAGACTGTATATACATACAGAGGGTAATAATTTATGGTCAAGATGTTGAGGGGTACTCATCTAAGATACCTAAAAGAGAAGAAGACACAAAACACTGGGGCAAGTCATGGACAAGATAACTAATGAAAAAAAGGTGGTTGAAAGGATATCAATAGTTACTGACCTATTTTCCTGCCATAAAATTTTAGAGAATGATCTCTTTATATTATCAATAGTATTTTATATGTAAATATGACAAAGTAACAAAATACAGCAGATCACAGTGATTCAGTGCCGATTGGACAATTTAAAGAATACAAGATCCTACTGTTTTTACTATTTGTTGAGTATAAAAAGACATCTATCTCCATTAAGTAAAATGGAGTTTAAAATGCTTCCCAATAAGGTGTTTTTTTGCCTATGTAAAAGATTATACAGGGTTCCTTCGTGGCTGCAATGAGAGGTAACTTTGCTCAATGAGACTTAAGTCATTAGTATCAAACAAGGCATCAAACAAAGTATGTTTTGCCAAGATGTTCCCCACTCTTATGATGTCCTTTGCAAAAGCCAGATGGACCATGGATTACTCATTAATCATGAAGTCCTCTAGATAACAATTATTTACAGATGACTTTGCAATGCCAGAGAGCATCATTGCTGAGATTTAATACCGATCCAATGACGAAATCTAATTAAATACGTAGTCCTGGAGTCAGAAGGGTTCTTAATGACTGTTTAGTCTGGACTACAGTTGAAGCCCTCCAGCATAGAGGTCCTGTTGCCTACCAGTCTACTTTTAGATGATTTGAATGGTTACAGGACTTTTCTTTATATTCAGCCTAAATTTACCACTGTGAAACCCCCCACTTCCCCCCCCCCCCCCCAATTTGCTTTGAATCTTCTTTCTGGGACAAAACAGTACAACTCCAAACCCTCTTCTTTGCTCAGCCCCTTTAAATACTGGAAAACAAGTGGCTTCAAGGGCAGTGGAGAGATGCTTGGTAGATGTGAATTGACCACCATCTCACCAACTTCCTCACAAGAAATTACATGAAAAACATTGTCCAGAAATGTGTGATTGGAAGAGGAGATGGTATGGCCACGTAGGAAAATTATGGGATAACAGACACACAGTCCAATTGTCTACATAAACTTAAAAGTGCTGGAGGAAGGCTCTTTCACGTGCTGTGAGAAGGGGGAGAAAAGTTACCTAGGATGAGAATGTAGGATCTTTAATGTGGGAGGCAAGTCCCCAGACCTGTGAGAACATAAAGTATTGAAGAATGGTCAATGACATTCAGCTGCCTTCATAGTACAGGTGACAAATCTGTTGTCAGAACAGCTCATTTGGTTGCCTTGTTCTTATGAACTGGAACCTCTTCCCTTGGTTCAAAGAAAGAGGCTTTGCATATTTCTGTTTGCAGGACAACCGACCGTGGCTGATGCTGTGGTGTAGGGGGAAAGAGCACTAGATTCAGTCAGAGAACCTTAGCTCAAAGCTTAATTTTGCTATTTTCCTACTTGTGAGGCCAGATGGTCCTTGGGCAAGTCATTCAACCTGTCTCTGAGCTTCAGTTTCCTCACCTTCCAAGTGAGGGCGATTTCCAGATCCAGATCTTTGAGTTCATAATTCCAATCTTTACATTTAAATGTCTGATCCCTTGAATCACATCTGAGTATGATCAAAGAGAAGAGTCTGTAGCCATGATAACTGATTTGGGTGGAATCCTTACGTATTCTCTTTTTTCATGTAAAAGTTCAACCGAAGTTTCTAGGAATTAGCCAAACACTAAAATCAACTAACGCATCCACTTGCACAGAGCAATTAGCAAAACCTACCAAGAAAGGAGTAGAGAATACAAATTCCATTTTTTGGCTTTCTTGTATGCTTTTTAAAAGTAAAGGTGGATAGCCAAAAAGTGTACATGGTGGGTTGAGGGTGGTGCAAGGATAAATTACTGATACTGATTTGCCAAAATTAACTTATTGCAAAATGAAGGTGGAATGGACAACCCTTGAATTCCTGTTTGAATTCTGAACCTTCACATTGTTTTAGGATGTGTTTTTGCATTTAAATTCCTTGTAGGAATTTGGCGGGGAGTCGTGAATTAGAACCTTGGAAACGTAGCGGGGTGAGTTTGTGAAGAGATACTGGTGTCAAACAAAGGGAATAGGGAGCAAGCTGCTGATGTTTATTGGGTTAAGGAGGCTTTTGCGATCATATCTGTAGCTTCAGAAAATCACTTGGGCAACTAAGTGTAAGGTAGATTGAAGTAGAGAGAGGCCAAGTAGGACCATGTGAAAGGGGAAAGGCCATGAAGGTGGTTTCTGTGTTTGTGGAGAGGAGAAGGCAGATGTGCTGGATAGTAACCGACAGGATGTGCAAGGTGACTGAGAGCGAGGAGTCCGTCAGGCGGCGTGGTAGTGCCCTCAGAAGTCATGAGGATGTTCAGAAGAGGAAGAAGATAGTGATAATCAATTAAAATAATAATCCTTCACTAACGTGTTTATTTTTAAAAAATACTTTCTTACAGGTTAAGTTTTTTAGATTGAGAGTAGCATGGTTTCTTTTTTTTGTTCTCTAACCCAACATGATGCACGTATTACTTTAGGTAATAGAAGTATTACTGCTTGAATTTTTTTGTTGAGAAGTATTCTAGCATTTTAGGGATGAAATGCTAACAGTCTGAAGTGACAGTAGTTGGTGATAAAAAGAGAACACTTTGAAGTATAATTTTTAAAATAATTTTTAAAAAAACAAGTTTCATGGGTTCTTTTTGTTTTCATAGTGAACAGTTATT